GTGCGCAAAAGTGCGTCGCATTGTTTGTGTTAGCCGGAGAGATTTTTCTTTAATTAGCTGCAGTGACGATGAGGAGGGACACTTTAATGAGTTGGGAACATGAAAGCCGAGAGGCCTTTCTTCCATTAGAGCTGCAGTGTTTACGAAGACACTCTAAACATGATCGCACGAAGATAAACAAAGTCAAGGAGACTTTAAATCCTGATAGTTTGTCGTTGGGAACCCAGGGCTTTGTCACAGTGCCTGGTTCACATCTGAAGAATGCGGTCTCTTCTGACTCTCAGCCGCCTTTCACCTTCATAAACCATCATTACCACAGCAGCTGAGGAGCATTTGGCCCGAGTGGCCAAGTCCAAATATGTCTCTGTTCTCTTATTGGCCCTCTGAGTATTGGTGTTGCAACATGTGATAAAATCCAGATATTCAGACAGAAGGTGGTTGTTGTTGTTGTTGTGGCCTCAGTCTCAGATGTCCAGACCCCTCTACTGGCAGTTCCTGTGGGGGAACGTGACGGCGATGGCGTGGCGTTTGTGTCTCTGTGGTTCTGGCATTTCCTCGCTGTGTCAGTTTGGGTTTGTACTGCGATGTTGCACATCTGGCGCTCCACTTTGATTAATCACGTCCTGTGCATCTTTTGACAATTCCCTCAGATTTCTGCAGTGACCAGGGGATTAGGTTGCCATCTCTTCCAGCTGTACACAGAGTCCTGACCGCCTCCCCGCAGGAGGGATGGCTTCCTCCCTGAATGTGATTGTAATTAATGTTGGACAGGCCAAGGCTTCCCATCTGCTTTGCAAATAAGGCCGCGTACGACTACCGTGTGTCATCGCCGTCAAATTAGATTTTAATGTGTCTTTTGCTCAATCGTGGCAGATTGTGTGTGTTGCGTGCCTGTGTAGGTGCCTGAAACACTTCTGGGTGGTCCTGATTGTTTAAAAAAACCCAAAAACAGTCCTGAAGGCTGAATATCATGTGTGGCCAGAGTGAAACTGCAAAACAGAATCAAGACAAATGAAATGTAAAAAGGCAGGGAATCCAAACAATGTGCCTGAAGCATTTACAGAAAAACGGCGTGCAGTATTAGAAAGCGTGGTGTGTTTAGCCAAAGGGGGATGACTCTTCTTATTACCCTGATGATCTGATTTACTACAGGAGTCACTTGTTTACATAGGGATTCTCCTCCGTGTGTGGAACCTCGGACTGAAATTGAACCGTAGCGAATGAAACAATGACATTGATTTAAGCGTGGGCCGAGCTGATGTCTTTCACAGCCAGCTGCAGCAGTAGCACTGATAGAGAGCTCATTTTCTCAGGACACTCTCCTGGGACAGTGGCAGATTTAAGAGCCCCTGTGTTACATCCAGTCTCAAGTGTGCTCCCTCCACCTATGTGCCTCTTCCTCTGCCCCTCTACGTGATTCATGTCCATCTTTTCTCCTGTCATCTGTTCTCCTTTGCTTTCATCACTCATAGGGATCATATGTTTGAAAAAACAAAACAAAACAAAAACAAATCTAGGACCCGAGCCATAGATTCCAGCTTCGTTTTCATCTTTTTTTTTTCTTTCCCTTGAGTAGCGTGTTCATTACTGGCGTGTGGACGTTCTGTTACCCTTTTCCACTAACCTCTTGTGAAGTGACACGGTGTGCTCTATGACTCATGCTGTGTGACATGCTGCCGTTCCAAACATGTCCTTGTGTACAGCGGTGCTCTCAGGTAATGGCACCAGTTACTGTTAACTAGAGTTTAGGGCCTGTTTCCACTTGTTGTTTTAATTCTTAAATATTTTGTTTTCGTCCTGGCTGAGACACACAGAGTGGGAGCAAGTTTTCTAGTGAGTTGTACACTATAAAAAAACAGTGACAACATTAGAAGCAATCAACTGAATGTGATTAACATAGAAATCTAACAGTGCTGTTTAAAGCACATTTTGATCCAAAATAGACTGTATTCTTCCCATTGTTAGCAGGTAAACGTAAGCACAAGTTTTTCATGTCTTATCAGCTAAAGGGTATTAGGGTATCCGTTTGGTACAGTTGAGGTTCTACGCCACACTTGCTACTTAAATGTTGGACTAAACCCGGAAAAACAGTTATTGAGTTACTCTTCAGTGCCTGCTGTTCGCTCGCTTGGTTATAACAGAGCACCAATCCCATAATAACTTAGGAAGATCCTATGGTGGTCACAGAGTCACTGTTAGTTTTACTTTATGACCCCACTCACCAAACAAATATGTGGACTGTTCTAATTTTACAAAAAAGTCACTTTGTTGGACCAGTGACTTGACCGACATTCATGACGGGCTCCAGTGTACTGTGGTAGTAGTCGACTGATGCAAGTAATATAAGAAAAAATAGCCTGTATGGAATTGAGAATCGTGTTACATCTCAATTTTTCTTATTTTTTTTTTTTTTTGGTTTTCACAACATTTAGGGACAGTCTTGTGGCTGGAGATTTGAATTGACATATATATATTTTCTTTATCTTCAATCTGTCATCATCAATATCCCCAATATCAATATCCTGATTATCTACAATATTGTACAAACCAACAGTATGATTATAGTTAAGCTTAGCTAATGGAGAAAAACTTTTCCTAAACAGAATGTGAAACTAAGTAGAAAGCTTTCAAACGTGGAGCATAAGTAGATTACTGTGGTCCAGACAGCAGTGGGTCTATTCTGAAGTCCAATTTAAATGTATTTGTTTCCTGTCTTATGATGCCTGGCTGCACATTTAATCCCAGATAGGCTGCTTTCCTTGCGGAGGAACATGACTCAAAGTATGATTAATGGTGTTGTTGAAATCAAAGAGTCACTTGTTCGATATAGTTACGTGTTTCTGCATCAGATTTGGAGAAGGAAAAAAAGAACGATCTTAAAATCATTTCCTGTAAGACCTTAGAGACCAAAACAGAGGATCAACTCTAACAGAGTATACAATAAACAGTGTTAGCTGGAGGTTAGGTGAGGAATTTATGATACGCTGAGGTGGAGCGAAGGACAGAAACTTGGAAATGTGTAATTGTGAGAAAATTTACATTAACCATCTACAAAAGCCTGCTTTTGTCTGTTTACAGGATCAGATATTTCTCAGCCGCTACGAGTACATTTGATCTCGCGGCGATGCTCGGGGACGGCCCAAGATATACAAATAACGCTGCTTATTGAATTACGCCGTTTTAATGCGCTTCCTTTTTCTCATGTTTGGATTGTATTGGTTGTCAGGCTCGCTGTCAAAACATACAGCCGCCTCAAAAAACAAACAGGGCTGATGGATAAAACATATCTGGTTTACCAGCTTATGTCTTTTCCAGTCCGGATTTGTGGCCCGTCAAAAAGACGTGGTGTTACGTGACGCCTCTATTGTCCTTCTTCCAACAGACGTTAAAATGTGTAGAGGTGAAAACACACCATCGTTTTCAGAGGGAAAACAGCCAAATCAGTGGATTACCTAACTGAAGAACTTATACACTTATTGTGGATAATTATTAAGAATAATCTTAAATCAAAAAGACGAAATGATGGATCCATTTGATATAGATATTTGTACTCTCTACTACATTTTCAATGTATTCCAGTACTCTGTGTTTTGTAGTACAAGAAATGCATTCCTCTCCCTATCAGCCCATCCACTGTGATCATATCTATCCGTCTCACGCCATTACTGTCTGAGTTCACACGATGGCAGCTTAAACACCCAGATTACATTTCTTCATTTTCTCCTCCATCCTCTATCTTCATTCCTCTTTGAAATGATAGCATATAGTGTCGGACGGATGACTGTGGTGATAAGACGTTAGGGAAGGTGATGGGCAGTGGACGATAACCCTGGTGGAACGACTGATTAGGAGCCTCCACTCCCTCTTATCACCTCTGGGTACAGGTGTGTGTGTGTGTGTGTGTGCGTGTGTGTGTGTTGGGGGGTTCTCTGTTTGCTCTGCTGCACCCTCTGGAGGAGGACGGGGCAGAGTTCACTGTCCTGTCCTGACATTTGTAGTTTTCTACTCCTGCAAACTCCTCCGTTTTGTTACACCACAGGTGTAATATTACTCCTGTACTTTCTTAAAGGAGTAGTCCGTCTATTAAAGGTGGCAGCTGCAGCTTCAGTTTGAATTTTGGCTATTCTTGGGTAGCATAAATAGGTTATAAAAGTTTTGAAAATTACAGAGCCAAATGATCAGTTTGAGGAAGTTTCATTGATGTTAAAAAACCTAGAACATCCAGCT